TTGTAAACACACTTATTGTTTCATAGTTTCTGTTAGAACATTAAAATCATCCAAAACATTTAGTCCACCAATTGTTTGTTATAGGCCTGGAAGACCTTTAGTAAAGTTATCTTATGTGGTTGAAATTTGACAGTGCAGTGTAGAGTGCCCTTGGTAATGATCATCAAACTCCTTCACATTCTAACTTGCATTACACAAAATGGAGCACATTTTCTCCATGTCAAATCACATATTTATATATGATTATTATAATGAGTAATGTCTGCAAGGACATGTCAATGGATGCACTGAAAAGACAAAAAAGTTGCATGACAGTGGACATAAAAGAAGAGGTTCCCTTGCGAATTTTAAGTCCAACACAAAACTAAACAGTTATTAGTGTCATCAGTCTCTCAATCCAGCAAAACATTACTGAAGAAGTTAAGAAAGCTGGGATGTATTCAGTACAAATGAATACAACACAAGATTTGACATCTAAGTATCAATGTAAGATATGTGACAGATGGCATCAATGAGATAATAGCTAATAGCAGTGATTGATTGTGAGTTCTGTACTGGGGAAAATCTTGTTTTGCTGAAGAGAGTTTTGGAAAGGGTTGGTATTGACATCAAGGAATGTGTTGGTGATTGAATAGATGGGGCTGCAAACATGCAAGAGCAGTACAAGCAATTTTTGCACTTTTCAGACAAAAGGCACAGTTCATGTTTGGTGTTATGCACATATACTTAATCTTGTGTTAGCAGACACAACTGGAATTTAGTGTCAAGTGAATCACTTTTCTCCCTGTTAAATGACATCACCACATTCATGCTTGGTCCTACAAATGCATGAAAGTGTGGGAGGTGGTCAGTAAGAACAGGAGAAACAGGAGAAAGGGTTATTGTTCCAACAGGAGAAATACAGTGGTGGTCCAAAGACCACAAAGTTATTTATTTTAGTTATTTTGGAAATCCTGATGGGGCATGTTTTCATTGACCTTGACCTTTCATTGACCAGTAACCACCATGATAAAGATGGAAAAAGACAATGCAATGTAGCCCACTGTGAGAGTGAAAGCCAGAGGATACTTAGAGGCATTACTCCATACTAAGCACTTTTTTTTTTTTAATTTGCTCAGACTACACCACTGTCAAATTACTTTCAGACAAGTGGCATGGACTTGCTAACTACTCACTGCATCGTTATGGGCAAAGAAGACAACTTGAAAAGGTTCACCTGTTATTTTGAAGGTGTTAAAAATATACATTTGCACAGAATTCTACAGGAGCACGATGATCATAATTTTAAGGTCCAAATTACCCTCCCAGAAAAAAGGAAGGAAGAAAATGGTGATGCCAGGTGAGATGGCAGTGGATGAGCCATCTTCAGATTCTCTGAAAGAGTACAGAGTCACAACGTCATCACGTTGACAAGATGACAACGTCATCATGGACACTTTTCAAGATATCATCTACCAACGGTACACAGCAAGTGCAGCTCTATGTTCAGATTTTGCGTGCATGGATCCAAACTATTTTGCTGAAATACAACAAAATGGGCTCCCAAAATCAGCTCTGGTGAAACTCAGTAAATTATTGATCTTCTATGATGATCACCACATGTGTCCTGTGTGACAGTGTCACAGTGGAGACATTACAGGCAGAACTGACAAACTTGGCAGCACACTGGTGTAAGGTCCACACACTTGGCCCAATGAAGGTTTCCAGTGGTGGATAAAGGTTTCTTGCGTGTTCGGTCTTTTCAGCGCGCAGAGTTATTCAATTTAGATTTAACTCAAATCTGACTCCATTTTATTATCTAATCTGACTCCATTTTAGTATGACCTCGAATTTAGGTTGAAAGGCAAATTGGTTGTTTGTCGGTCTCTAATTATTCTGACATTTGATTATTCTAGTTAACTCTTTACTTATATTTACTCGTTCATTAGGAATCTATGTCGCACAAACTCGCCAGTTTGACCCTTAGCCAGAGGTTTATGACTAATCTGTTTAGCCCCCACAGTTACCCATGTAATGCTCCAAGCATTAGTCAGCGGTTCTGCTAGACCCTTTGTCTAGCCCCCGATAGTTAGTATAACTACGTACAACTTAGTTAATGCTGAAACAATATGCATGGTTAACGTAACTGAGTACAACTTAAACTAAGGTCAAGCGGTTAGTCAGAAACCCATAATCTCACCTGATGCGCCCCATGCTTCATCTAATCTGAGATCTAGTATGCACGTAACTCTGGTCGCAGATTTGCGGAAACATACGCCTTCACTTAATCTACTTGAGGAAATAATTTCATAGTAAATCAAAGTCAAATGTAACAATTTATTATCAGTCAGGTAAATATGTATTATGCCAATTATCTCCATAGCCAATTCAACGATATCAAATCAATACAAGACATCAAATTCTCAAAGACGAATCTAAGAGTAACAAACATACCTGACTTTTAGTAAAATACATAGTACAGAGTTTGTGGAGACACTCCATACTACGGGCTCTCTGACTACAGAATCACCCGACCCATTTGCTGCAATCCTTTAAATACAAAACCAAGATAAAACATCCCCCAAGTGGAGGCATGTACAAACAATTGGAATTTACATTAACCCAGGTCCCAGACCTGGGTGGTTTGCACCTCAATGGGAACAGGAGGTAATTTGCATGGAATGACCCTCTACAGTAATCAAAGTATCTCTTAACTCTTAGGATCTGTATTATCTTTTAATCTACTTTTGTAAGATTAAGACCATTGTACCACTCACCCTGAGACTATTCAAATGAAACCAAACATGACTGTAAATCTTATTTGCATTCATATAGAACATTATACTATTGACCATTCTGAGTGAATCAAGTGGAGGGAGGGGATGAAAAGGAACTGATGCATATGTGAGAGACGTTTTCCCGCATTTTCTCTCAGTGAGATGTGGAAACAGATGTCTGTATGTTAATGCACTGTGTGTGTATTGTCTGTCTCAGAAGATCAAAGTGTCTGAGGTTCTGTAATTCTTACAGTTTTCCTCCCTTTGACCACATGGGTCAATTCCAAATGATTCCCAAGGGGTCACTTGTCAGACACTTGTTGTAGTCCTTGTGATGTTGTATTTGCAGTTGTAGAGGCCTTTAGAAAGGCCTTTGTGTACACCATTCTCAACAGGTGCATGTAGCTTGAATTCAGCAGGTGGATGAACGGGTTCTGTAATTCTTACACTGGGAAAGGCTGAAGAGGTAAACTTTAAGAGCTAAAGTGTACAGACAGTCGTCACTTCTCTAGTCTATCGTTATGGGTGACCCATGTCCTGGGCATTCTGAAGAGGGGCGCATAACTCTTGTCGAGGGGGAAGCCCCTCTACGGAGACTGGCACCTCCACCCACAAGTAGTATTTCTGCTTTGGAAGACATTCGCCCAGGCAGCCATCAATCTCTTTGCGTCATGCGAAAACACAAACTGGCCTATGTACTTCTCACAATGGGACGAGGATGCCCCTCTCAGCGTGGTGCCAGGCCCAATGTGCTGCTCTACACATTTCCTTCCCTGTGCCTGATAACGCCTACCCTGGCCAGAATGAGAGAATGGAGCCTGATTCTAATTTTGATAGCACCCAGGTGGCCCAAAGCACCATAGCTGGCAGAGATCACTCCTCTATAAGGGGGAAATATTCTACCCTCACCCAGACAGGGTGGCCTCTGGGCTTGGCCTTTGAGAAGGCAAACTTAAACACATTGGGGTTCAGAGCATCAGAGGCTGAATGCTTTATGTCTTGTGTGTGCCCCGTGGGTTTACATCAACAGGACCAGCACTTTCAGAGAGAGTGACCAGCTGTTCATTCAAAATCAGGTTCCGTTCTCTCACCCAGACCAGGGTAGGCGTTATCAGGCTAAGAGGAGGAAATGTGTAGGTCAGCAGTGAGCCATGGATGGGCATCCTCGTCCAAGAATGCAGCAAAAAGCTACAACTTCCAGAAGCTTTATAGCCTCAGAGCACACTCTACTATGGGCATGGCTGCCTCTTGGGCTCTGTTTAAGGGGTTATCCTTGCAGGATGTCTGTGCCAGTGCAATCTGGGCCTCTCCCCATAAATTTTGTCAGATACTACCAGCTTGATGTTACCCAGATCCCAGTAGCTCATTCTGTTAGGGGGGTGGGTTCTTCGTAGCCTTGTGCTCTTAGCCACTTTACTTCTCTTTAAAGGGTGAGGACCATGCCTAATCTCTGTCTGGGAAACCGCCTGTTAATGCTGCTTTTCTTTTTAATTTGTCAGCATCTACATGCTGATTCTTACATAGCTATGCTTGATAGCTCACTTAATAGTGAATTTCTGAAACCACATTATCTACTTCAGTATTGTTAAACAAGCACCATTTTAACATAAGGAATAGCTTTCTTTCTGATAACACTTAATCCCTGTTCACACCGCCAGCGACTTAATAACTAATGTTATTATAGACTGCACATTCTGGACATACCTTTAGAAAATGAAATCACAAACTATATCACTGGTAAAACTAAGATATCATTCTAATTTGACTAGGAATTAGACATCAAATAAATAAAAGTCGCATTCTGCATTTGGAGAGTGTTGTTATATAAACTACAGCAGTGCTCAGTGCATTAAATCATTAACCAGTGCTAAACTGCTCACTGCATCATACAAGTCACAACACAAACCCTCAATGTATGAATCAAACTCACTTATTTTCCACACAATATTTTTTATATCCATGTATGTGGTTATAGTCAATTCACATAAAGCAGTGAAATCATTCCAGATCTCTGTCTCTGTCCTGTTCTGCCTCTGTCCTGTGAGAGGCACTGATAGAGTCTTCACTCCTATGCGCTCAATGCACGTCACAATTCCGGATTGGCTTATACCGGCTGACAAACTTCCTGTTACACTGACCGCAAAATTCTAGCTCACTTGACCGACAGACAGACCGATAACCGGCAAACATGGCTCTCATTTACACTCGCTGTCTTCAAGACCTACCTCGTCTTACTATCAATGATGTGGACCGACTTGCCAAGAAGTCATGCCCCACTCCCTCCAGCAAACGGGAAAAGGGATTCAAGATGTATATCGCCAGCTACATCGATAATTACGAGGGTAAGTCGTTACGTTGAAATGTTATTGTAGCAGCTAACGTTAGTGTTAATGTTAACTGAATGATTAGATGGCTAATGTTAAAGTTAGCTGTTTTGTTCGACTATGACTGACAGACTTGTCAGCTAACTTTCGATTTTGAGTTTGTGTGAGTTTTCTTTTATAGAGATACTGTCAAGATACTGTGTAAAAATTTAACATTACAGTCTCGAATTGAGTGTTCGTCATCCTTCCTCACAGTGTCAATGAAAGACAAGGTGACAGGAGAGGTCAGCGTAAGGGCAGTCTGTCATAGATCCATGAAGAAAAGTGAAAAGGCACACGAATTGAGAGTAGGGTTATTGTTAGGGCAATGGTTAGGCAAGCTGATAAATTGCCTGTCAGCTTAATAAAAGTAACATTATCCAAGCAAAATAGGCCTGTATCATATTGTTAAAAATTAATACATTTTCATATTTTGTCTGTGAGCCTCAGAATACAGCATTATTTTTCTTGTTAATGCTTTATCTGTCAAGCAATATCTCATCTAAGCTTCTATTTCTCCCTAGATGGTGTTAAAGCACTCAAAACCTGTTGTTTTGGTGAGCAGCCATTGTTCCTGTGTGGCGGGCTGTGCCTTATGCAATCATTTGGTTGCACTTCTTTATCAGACTGCCCATTATTCGCAGCTAAACATTCCTGCTGTTCCCCCGGTGCACAGCTGCACAGACACCGAGCAGATCTGGCATAAACCAAGGACACTGGTAAGTCATGTAACATGTGAACTGTACTATTACTGTGCATATTGTAGCTATTGTGATGCCATGTTGAATGTGTCTCTGATGTTAGGGTGTTAGGCCAGGCACAGTTGGAGAAATGGAGTTTTGAAAACCCAGAAATTCAACAACAGACTGTGTAAGGTGAGATTATCTTTACCTAGTATCTCGGAGTGGTTTTTACATGTAACCCATTTTATGTATGTTGTGGCAGAAGTTTGGTGTAGTGATTTTTACTTTAATACAATTTTTTTTTACTGGTAATATTTTTCAGAAGTTCTCTCTACAAGGCGCTGGATGGGGAACTGCCGGATCTTGGTGTACAAAGACTTTCCCCCTTCAGGGGGCGTGCTGTCATTTCAGCATAAACCACTAGCAATGAGGGAAGTCATCAACATCCCATCTGCCCTTGCCTTACCCTCCCCCTTCCCATCCACAGCTACAGGCTCGAACCACCATCCTGTGCCTACAGGTGTATCTCAATAAGTCACCTTTATTTATATAGCGCTTTTAACAATACAGATTGTGTCAAAGCAACTGAACAGCATTAATTAGGAAAATAGTGTCAATAATGCAAAGTGACAATAGTAAACACTCATTTTTCAGTTAAAGACAGTTCATCATTGAATTCAGTGATGTCAACATCCAGCTCAGTTTAAATAATATCTTTGCAAT